ACATTTTGATGTGTGGTCTTCCAAGGATTTATTTGTTTGTTAGTTTAAATAAACCATAGACACCTATTATATTTTGTTAAACCGTACATACAGTCATCACTCGGTATCCACAGGGGATTGGTTCCAGGACACCCCCATCCTGAGTACCCAAATCTGTGGATGCTCAAGTCCCTGTATAAAATGCTGTAGAATTTGCACATAACCTACGCACATCTTCCCAGATACTTTAAGTCATCTCTAGATTACTCATAATACCTCATACAATGTAAATGACTTGTAAATAGTTGCCAGCGCACGGCAAATTCAAGTTTTGCTTTTTGGAACTTTCTGAAATTTTTTTTCATCCGGGGTTGGTTGAATCTGAGGATGCAGGACCTATGGATACAGAGTGCCAACTGTATGTGTTGACATATATTCATACATGCATACCTTATATATATATGAATTCAATCATATTGTTTTATCTTCTAGAATTTTATTTAGCAGTATAGCATAAACATAGCTGTATAGACACAGACATACACCTTTGTATCTCATTCGTGGATGTGCCATCGTGTGTTCACATGCCCTTCTGATGATCACATCACCTCTTTCCAATGTTCTGCTGTTGCCAGTAGCGCTGCAACAAACCTCCTTGTGTCATAATTCCTTGAAAACTTATCAGACTGTCTCCTTGGGATAAATTCCTAGACACATAAATGCTAGGTTCATGTTCATTTTGAGGTTTTAATATATAGTGCTTCACCACCATCCAGAAAGTTCATCAACAAACCTCCTACCAGCAGAGGTCAGGATGCGCACATTCAAATGCCCTGAACAACGTGTTACGGTATCAGGCTTTTTTCTTTACCAATATGATAGGTTTTTAAATGACCATATCATTGTTTTAATTTTAAACTTCTTTGTTTACAAGTGATGGTAAAAAATTTCCTACGTTTATCAATTGTTTTTCTTCTTTTATGAAGGGATTTTTTACCTATATTGTAGAAAGTGTTTATCTTTTTCTTACTTATTTGTAAGAGTCCCTCATATTTTAGGGATAATTACCCTTCCTGTGTATACTGTAAATTTCTCAGTTTGTCTTCCTTGTTTGGGGTGTTTTGGGGAGGCCCTGCCTTTTTGGAAGGGAATACCCACATATCTTAGAGGAGCATGGGGTTCCTTTGGTTTGTTTGTGATAGTAGCAGAGGCCTACAGCAAACCAACACTCTCAGAAAGTAGACTGGCAGTTTCCCGTAAAAGAAAATCGAGGAAATAAAAATTTTAAATAGAATTTCAGTGAGCATCGGTTTTAAGCAGCTAATTAACAATAAAATATCATGTTACACTACATAGCACATAGAACCTCTGACACCTCAACAAAGAGATGTACTTTGCATTCTGTTTCAGGTTTCAAACAAACAGTTGACTAAGAGGTTATTTTTCAATCCATTTTTTAAAAATTATTTTATTTATTTATTTTTGGCTGCATTGGGTCTTTGTTGCTGCATGTGGGTTTTCTCTAGTTGCGGAGAGCGAGGGCTACTCTTCATTGCAGTGCACAGGCTTCTCATTGCGGTAGCTTCTCGTTGCAGAGCACGGGCTCTAGGTGCGCGGGCTCAGTAGTTGTGGCTCGCAGGCTTAGTAGTTGTGGCTCGCGGGCTCTAGGTGTGCAGGCTCAGTAGATGTGGTGCACGGGCTTAGTTGCTTCACCACCTGTGGGATCTTCCTGGACCAGGGCTCGAACCCGTGTCCCCTGCATTGGCAGGCAGATTCTTAACCACTGCGCCACCAGGGAAGTATCCCTAAGGGATACTTTTTTTTTTTCAATTTCAAAAATTACCCCTGGACTTAGAATGGTTTGCCCCATGAGTGGGGCAATATCTAACACCTCTTTGCTTACTTGGTATTTAACCTGGTTTTTCACCATTTTCACTACAGAAGCTAATACTGAATGCCATTGGATTATCAAATGATTATTGAATGAAGTAGAACTTATTACTTTATATATTCACCCAAAGTGGAAGATCTTCTTTTCTTGTTTAATGTGTTTTAGCTACTTTACCAAAAAAAACAAAACAAAAAAAACCCAGCAATGAACTCTAAACATTTTCTGCACAACTTAGCTTCCAATTTTTTTTTCAAAATACACATACATTTCACACATTTTCAATAAATAGATCCATGGCCATTTGAATTCATCTATTTTGCAGTTTAAATTATTTTTTGTACGTTTTTTCATGTGTCAAAATTGTCAATGTAATTATCAGTTTATTGGCTGCATAGTATTCCAACTGATTGATATCCCACAGATGATTTTGTTTCATTTTTTTCAAATTTTTATTGAAATATAATTGATTTACAGTTGTGTTAGTTTCAGGTATACAGCAGAGTGACTCAGTTATATATATGTATATATATATATATTCTTTTTCAGATTCTTTTCCCTTATAGGTTATTACAAGATACGAGTAGAGTTCCCTATGCTGTACAGCAGGTATTTGGTTCTGAAATTCTCTCCAGCACATGGCAAGCATGACCCAACGCTCAGCTCTGTCTTCTCTCTCCTTGTGCCTTTTCCTCACCTCCTTCAGCCTCAGCCAGAAGCAGACAGAGTCAGACACACACACACCAGAGCTTGGTCAGACAGGGATAGAAATAAAGAACCCATCAGTGGCACTTATCGTCCCCATGAAGACTGCTGTCTATTGGGTTTGTGGCAAATATTTATTTTCACGGATGCAAAGAATCATCTGCTCTCCCTCGATGGCTGTAATCAACCCGAGAGATTCTTTGCTGCCTTGATGGTGATCACACCCTCTCAAGACCCACTAAGGAGAATCATATTGCAAACGTCCAAGAAACTGTGAGAGTGACTTTAGTTGCCAACATATCATTCGACTCCCCTTAGATTATCATATCACTCAATCATTAATATCTTTAAGGGCTGACATGATCTATATATTTTTACACTGATTCCATAAGGTGGTGCCAATTTTTTTTTTAATTATACACATTAGGGAACATTTTAGTTCTTCATTTTCAGATATTTCTGCTTTTTCAAAACTTTCGGGTATTTGCCAAAACTTCACATTTCACCCTCTTTAGGAAATGTTTCAGAAGCACTTAATTTTATTTTTTTAATTTTACTGAAGTAGAGTTGATTTACAGTGTTGTGTTAGTTTCTGCTGTACAGCAAAGTGATTCAGTTATACATATACATATATATATTCTTTTTCATATTCTTTTCCATTATGGTTCATCACAGGACATTGAATATATCTCCCTGTGCTATACAGTAGGACCTTGTTGGTTATCCATCTTATAGCTAATAGTTTGCATCTGCCGATTCATCCCTCCCCCACCTTGGCAACCACCAGTCTGTTCTCTATGCCCATGAGTCTGTTTCTGTTTTGTAGATAAGTTCATTTGTGTCGACTTTAGATTCCTGCTGCTGTGAATATAGGGGAGAAGCACTTAATTCTGTATTGAATTCTTCTATCTGGTCAGATCGTATAGCTGAGCTCACAGTCCTTAGACACCTGTGCTTCCAACCAAATACACTCATCACGGCCTCCCGGATATTTGGAGAGTTCTACCCCTCGCCACACCGGTGACATCTGGCCTCCACATCAGCCACTGCTCTACCCAGGTGCAGAGCCCTCCCTCTTGATTCCCACCTTCTGGAACTATGGCCAGAGTCAGAGATACTGTGCGTCCACTCGACTCATAAACATGAAGAACCGGCTCCCGCCAACTGAGCCTTCAGAAGCCATCATGCCGGGATGTGTACGAGTAAGTTCTCGTTTCCCCTTTGCAACAATCCTGGGGGACGGGATGCACACCAGGTGTGCGTCTGGAAACGGCGGCTGAGAGCTTAGGTCACGTGGCTCTGCTAAGATACTGGTGCGGCTCAGACTGGAAACCAGGCTTGAGCCACTTACCGGTTGGGTGTTTCCACTGGTAACTAAGTGATCGCTAAGCGGGGTTTCAACTGTGTATGCGGATAAACAGCCCTCCGACCTTCGCAAGGCATCTCTCGCACCGCTGGGCCCGGCAGCAGGTTGGTGGTGTTTCATGAGGGCCCCGATGCGCCTTGCCGGGTCTGTGTTTGATGTATATACTTAGAGAGGCGAGAGACCAAGCACAGCCACTGGAGAAGGCAGGAGAAAAGGTGTTTGAGGAGATGAAGACCCTGCGGGGCAAAGCTCTCAACTCGTTGACTCTAGAATAACAACAGACACCGGGAGGTCAGTTCCGCTCACTTGCTTTCTGCAGGTCACCGTGGTCCTCTTGGTCTGTTTACGTTCCAGCCATTTGGGGAATTAACGTTTCCAGAGAAAAAAAAATTGAAATGTGGATGATGTATATATTTTTAAATTATTTTTCTCTGTAACAGTAAAATGTCATCAGTATGATGGCAATGTTTGGAGCTCCTGGCTGCAAGCTTTAGCGTGGGAGCGAAGGCTTCCGGAGTGCGAGAGGCCAAGCGCCCTCTGGGGGGCGGGGGAGGGGCTGCTCCCCCCCCCCCGCCCCGCCGTGACCGCCAGCTGCCACGGCCCCCCAGCACCAGACCCTGGCTTTGGCGGCCGCTCCCGGAAACAGCAGCTCCCCAGCGGCTGTGACGGGGGCAGACCCAGGCGGGGGGCGACCGGAGCCCGCAGACTGGCTTGGGAGAAGAGGGTGAGGCCTCTGCAAGGGTTCTCGGGAGCAGCTGGGGCGCGAGGGCGTCGCCTCGGGCCCAGGAGTCCCTGCGAAGGGTCAGTGGCAAGCAGGCCTTTTGACCGTGTGTGGCAGCATGACTCCAGTTCTTATGCATAGGCTGGCTGCAGGTCAGAATCACTTGGAGAGCTTCAAAAACAACAGCTGAATGACTGCTGTTCTTAAAATGGATAACCAACAAGGACCTTCTCTACAGCACGGGGAACTCTGTTCAATATTCTGTAATAACCTAAATGGGAAAAGAATCTGAAAAAGATTAGATACGTGTATGTGTACAACTGAGTCACTTTGCTGTACGCCTGAAACTGACACAGCACTGTTAATCAACTCTACTCCAACATAAAAAACAAAACAAAACAAAACCAAGAAACAGCTGAGTCAGACTTCCTGGGGTAGGACCCAGGCAGTAATCATCTCTAGAGCTCTCCGGAGGATCTGATGTGCAGCCCAGACTGCGACCCACTGGCCTCCAGGATAAAGTCCAGATTCCTCACGGGGGGCTGCAAGCCCCTGCGTCTCTGGGTCCCGCCTCTAGCTTCCTCTGCCCTGGCGCCAGGCTCTCCCTGCGGGGCGGTGGGGGAACTGGCCTGGGCAGCCATCTGGTCCCAGGTGAATCCTGGTCCTGTTCTCATCAACCACACGGCTTCCTTAGTGTCTGTGAGCGTCCACTTTCCCCGTACGACCGGCTCCAGGGCTCGCCTCCCATGGGGCTGTGAGGATTACATTAGGAAATGCGAAAAGTGTACCTGGCATTAAACAAGAGTTCAGAAATCTGAGCTCCCCTTAGCAGGACCGAGGCAGCAGTAATTTCAAAATTCTTTTTCATTTTGAAATAATTTTTTTTTTTTATGTTCCCATATCTCTTCCCGCTTGCGTCTCCCTCCCTCCCACCCTCCCTATCCCACCCCTCCAGACGGTCACAAAGCACCGAGCTGATCTATGTGGCTGCTTCCCACTAGCTATCTACCTTACGTTTGGTAGTGTATATATGTCCATGCCTCTCTCTCGCTTTGTCACAGCTTACCCTTCCCCCTCCCCATATCCTCAAGTCCATTCTCTAGTAAGTCTGTGTCTTTATTCCTGTTTTACCCCTAGGTTCTTCATGACATTTTTTTTTTCTTAAATTCCATATATATGTGTTAGCATACGGTATTTGTCTCTCTCTTTCTGACTTACTTCACTCTGTATGACAGACTCTATGTCTATCCACCTCATTACAAATAGCTCAATTTCGTATCTTTTTATGGCTGAGTAATATTCCGTTGTATATATGTGCCACATCTTTTTTACCCATTCATCCGATGATGGACACTTAGGTTGTTTCCATCTCCTGGCTATTGTAAATAGAGCTGCAATGAACATTTTGGTACATGACTCTTTGAATTATGGTTTTCTCGGGGTATATGCCCAGTAGTGGGATTGCTGGGTCATATGGTAGTTCTATTTGTAGTTTTTTAAGGAACCTCCATACTGTTCTCCACAGTGGCTGTATCAATTTACATTCCCACCAACAGTGCAAGAGGGTTCTCTTTCCTCCACACCCTCTCCAGCATTGATTGTTTCTAGATTTTTTGGTGATGGCCATTCTGACTGGTGTGAGATGATATCTCATTGTAGTTTTGATTTGCATTTCCCTAATGATTAATGATGTTGAGCATTCTTTCATGTGTTTGTTGGCAGTCTGTATATCTTCTTTGGAGAAATGTCTATTTAGGTCTTCTGCCCATTTTTGGATTGGGTCGTTTGTTTTTTTGTTATTGAGCTGCATGAGCTGCTTGTAAATTTTGGAGATTAATCCTTTGTCAGTTGCTTCATTTGCGAATATTTTCTCCCATTCTGAGGGTTGTCTTTGAAATAATTTTAGACCTAAGGAAAAGCTGCAAAGCCAGAATGGAGAGCGCGCGTACACAGTACTCGGCTTCCCCGATGTTAACCTCTGCTGTGGCACAATCACCAAAAGCAGGAAATGAAGACTGGCTCTGCGCTGTCGACCCAGGGGCTGTCACTGTTCAGGAGCCACGTGGCGTTTAGTCTCAAGTCTCCTTACTTTCTTCTCACCTGTGACAGCCCCTCAAGTCCCTGAGCCAAGCAGTTCCCAGCCAGCCCGCTACCAGGGCCCCGCCTCACAACAGCCCCTCTTTTCTTGAAGAAGTTTGAGGGCGTCCGTGTCTTACACCAAGGAGCTGAGTCAGATCTCAGGACTCAGCCAAGACATGGACACGGGGGTCTGGTGACACGTTCTCCAACAGTGGTGTCTTCAACAAATGTTTCTTTTCAGATACTCTGTTTGCGGGAAGTTTGTTAAAGCCCTTGTGAAAAGAGGGGAAGCGATGCAAAGGAAAGAGCTAGAAGCATATACAGAAGATCAACAGACAATACTTAGATTCCCCAAGCCCTTGTGTATGCACACACACATGCCCTTCCCAGGTCCAGCTCAATGTCTCGCCAGCTAGAGGCCCGCAGAAGGTGGGCCCTTTTTGATACACTTCCTCTCCCTGATGGTAGAGTTGACCTGAACCTGAGGACAGGCTACTCTTCAGGTCCCCACTGCCTGGAGCTCGGCCGGCCACCCCTGGGGCACCAGTGGCCCTGCTACTCCCCCTCCCACCCCGGCCTTCCAGAAGCTCTCCCCTCTGCGTCAGGCTGATGCGTCTGAACTGCAAGCCTGCACAGGATGCCCAGGGCCTGTCCTGTAATTACTGTCCAGCGAACTACTCTGCACCTTTCCCTGGATCCCACGTCTAGAGGACTTACCAAGACTAATCTCCTCCTGCCTCGCAGTGCCGAGGCACCTTTAACCTCCAGCACCGCCAGAAGTCCAGCTGGATTAGCCGAGATGGCTACAGCAGAGACAGGAAGGTGGTTACCACCAGCCTCGGCTGTTCACATCATGACCTGCAGGAAGGAGGGCCGCCAGTGAGCAGTCGTGGAAAGAAACATCGTTCTTCCTCTTTCTGTCTTTCCCACCAGCTGAAGAATCCCTAGGACAAGCGCTGTGGGCGAGAGTGCAGAGCCTCTGCGCCCACCAGAGCCAGGGGAGCCACAGGTCTAGTCTTTACTGGGGAGGGTGCTGACATGATGGGGGCAGTGCTGGGTGAAAGATGAAACTGAAGTTTCAAAACAGACAACAAGCCTCAACCAAAATGATACTGTCCCAGTAACTGATACTGACTGACAAATTATAGATTTGGACTGTGTGTCCTTAAGGGACCCTGTCAGTAAGCAGGGAATCAGTGAAGAGTACAGCTGGTAGCAATCACTGGAGAAATAAAGTCATTTCATTTATCCCTCAATGAGCTGATATCACTCAGTCAAACTGTCCCCACTACAGTCACCACCAAAAGTACCAGCTTCTGATGTCAAAAAGATACCAAGGAATGACAGTCAGTGGAAAACTAGGATCTCAGAAGTGAGAGGGGGCTGTGCCGTGCAGCCTAGGCAAGGGGCCCAGGGTCTAATTTGGTCTCCGCGGGTCGGTATTATAATAGACAGCATTCACGTTAAAGTTAGTAAAACAATGTTGTATTTGTGGCAATAGGGAAGCTGGTATTCAAGAAAAGACAAAAAAAAATTTTTATATTAGAAGGTTTAAGTAGTCCATTAAATTGGAGTTAAATTTAAAATGATATGATTCCATGACATGTTAAAAATATCTTTTCGGGGCCTGCCTCTAAAGTGGCCTCCGTGCTGTCACCCACTCCCAGGGCCAAGCAGAGTGTGGTCTAACATATGCCCAAAGCGCCTAGAGTTTGGATCTCAAGTACAGCTCCCCAAAAGGAAGCCAGGAGCCTTGGAAAGTGTCTGATCCTGTGTCTTAGGGCAAGGATAATTAAGGTGGGCCTGGAGTACCAGTGTGTTGCCAGAAAGAAAGTATGCTTTCAAAATGATCCAGGGCAATTTTAAAGGATAAAGGAGCCAGTTGAAAGGGGCTCCCACTGAGCAGCTGGTGACAATTTGGGGACTAGAAAGAAAGCAGTAGTTCTCTGCAGAGCCATATGAGGCATGCTAGAAAAACAAAAGAAAAGAAAAAGAAGGCATGTACAAGTTTATAATGATGTTTACAGTATGTTGACAAAGCCAGACTGTGTGTATACCATATACTATATTCAAGTTTTGGTCAGCATCAAAATTTCATCATTACAAATCAAACAGCTAAAATATTCATTGCACCCCTGGTAGGGGATGTAGAATCTTATCAGCTCTACTCAGGCAATGAAAAATTATGGAAGATTTCACTATTACAAAAGAAGACACAGGCTTGGGAAGTCCAATTATCTCCACAGTGACTCAGCCTAATAAATACTGACTCATGATGAATCATCCTGGAAATCATGCTGGACCCCAGTCCTGGGCAAGAATATCCCACCAAGAGTTCAGCCTCCAGCACCTCAGTGTGAAATGGCCCGAGAGGATGGCTCTGTGCCCTTGGGTTAGGAAAGCACATTTGTGGCGTCCAGATGAATAAAAGCATCTGCCTGGGTTATTTGGGTGCTGGGTTGGCTATCTGTAATAATGAGTTTTATTCCACTGTTTTATATGTACTTCATTTAAGATGTTTAAAACAGGTAAGAGAATCTGTTAGATTTATGTCTATTTTATTAGATTTATAAGAGTTGCTTAATGGTTTAGTAAGGTTTTGCTTATTAGATTTGGCTCGGGAATTAAACTCCTTGGGACGGGGTGGCTATTGGTGTATTTAAGAGTCGGCTAAGTCAAATTTGAAAGTATGGTTTGAGATGCCCGAGGGAATTTGATCAACTGAGTACAGAAGTGTGGGGTAAAATTAAGGAAGATTTAATCTGTAAAGCCCGTGGTTAACTGAAGGCTAACCAAAGAACACGGAGAAACAAAATCTTATTTTCATACAAAGATCACTGAATTTATTAAGATAACAGTATTTGCAAACTGACGTTTTAGGCTTTTAGGCTTAAGAGATATGAGATACTTGATACTTTAATCAACTGAATAGTAATTAAAATATAAGTGGGCTTCCCTGGTGGCTCAGTGGTTAAGAATCCACCTGCTGCCAATGCAAGGGACACGGGTTCGAGCCCTGGTCCGGGAAGATCCCACGTGGCGCGGAGCAACTAAGCCCGTGCGCCACAGCTATTGAGCCTGCACTCTAGAGCCTGCGAGCCACAACTACTAAGCCTGCGCACCACGACTACTGAGCCTGCACTCTAGAGCCCACGAGCCACAACTACTGAGCCCGCATGCCACAACTACTGAGCCTGCGCTCTAGAGCCCACGAGCCACAACTACTGAGCCTGCACGCCACAACTACTGAGCCTGCGCTCTAGAGCCCGTGAGCCACAGCTACTGAGCCTGCACGCCACAACTACTGAGCCTGCGCTCTAGAGCCCGTGAGCCACAGCTACTGAGCCTGCGTGCCACAACTACTGAGCCTGCGCGCCTAGAGCCCGTGCTCCGCAACAAGAGAAGCCACCACAATGAGAAGCTCATGTACCGCAACCAAGCGTAGCCCCTGCTCGCCACAACTAGAGAAAGCCTGCACGCAGAAACAAAGACCCAACACAGCCAAAAGTAAATAAATAAAATAAATAAATAAATTTATAAAACATAAGTAACTCTTTAAGTATTCCTTTCATGCCCAAAAGCCCCCTCAGAAAAATTTTTAGGAAAAAATAGAAAACCTGAAAAGCCCTATAACAAGTGAGGAGATTGAATCAGTAATCAAAAATCTCCCAACAAAGAGAAGCCCTGAAGCCTACGGCTTCACTGGTGAAGTCTACCAAATATTTAAAGAACTAATACCAATCCTTCTCAAGCTTTTCCAAAAAACTGAAGAGGAAGGAATGCCTCCTGATTCATCCTAGAGGCCAGCATCACTCTGATACCAAAGTCAGATAAAGACACTACAAGAAAAGAAAACTTCAGGACAATATCCCTTATGAACATTGATGCAAACGTTCTCAACAAAATAGGAATTCAGCAGCATATTAAAGAGATTATACATCATGACCAAGTGGGATTCATTCCTGCAATGCAAGGATGGTTCAACATATGAAAATCAATCAATATAATACACCACATTAACAGAATGAAGTACAAAAACCACATGATCATCTCAACTGATGCAGCGAAAGCATTTGAGGGACTTCCCTGGTGGCACAGTGGTTAAAGCTCCGTGCTCCCACTGCAGGGAGCCCGGCTTCGATCCCTGGTCAGGTAACTAGATCCCACATGTATGCTGCCACTGAGAGTTTGCATGCCACAACTAAGGAGCCCGCGTGCCACAACTAAGACCCGGCGCAACCAAATAAATATTAAAAAATAAAAGTATTTTAAAAAAAGCATTTGAAAAGTTCAACTCCTTTTCATTAATAAACACTCAACAAACTAGGAATAGACGGAAACTGCCGCAACATAATAAAAGCCATATTTGAAAAATCCACAGCAATGGTGAAAGACTGATTTTTCACTAAGATAGGGGACATGACAAGGATGCCTACTTTCACCAGTTCTATTCAACATAGTACTAGAAGTTCTAGCCAGAGCAATTAGGCAAGGAAAAGAAATAAAAGGCATCCAAATTGGAAAGGAAGAAGTAAAATTATGTCTGTTCATAGATGATATGAAATTATGTTTAAAAAACCCTAAAGATTGCACGAAAACCTGTTAGAGCTAATAAGTGAATTCAGCAGGATACAAAGTCAACATACAAAAGTCAGTTGCTATATACTAACAATAAGCAATCTGAAAAGGAAATTATGAAAACAATTCCATTCACAACAGCAACAAAAAGGAAAAATACTTAGGAATGACCTTAACCAAAGAGGTGAAAGACTTGTACACTGAAAACTACAAAACATTGCTGAAAGAAATTAAAGAAAACATAAATAATGGAAATATATCCCATGTTCGTAAATTGTGGACTTAATATTATTAAGATGGCAGTACTACCCAAAGTGATCTAAAGATTCAATATAATCCCTGTCATTTTTTTTGTAGAAATAGAAAAACCCATCCTAAAATTCATATAAAATCTCAACTGATCCTGAATAGCCAAAATAATCTTGAAAAAGAAGAACAAAGCTGAAGGATTCATACTTCCTGATTTCAAAACTTACTACAAAGCTACAGTATTAAAACACTGTGATTACCAGCATAAAGACACACATATATAACTGAATCACTTTGCTGTACACCTGAAACTAACACAACATTGTAAATCAACTATGCTCCAATAAAAATTACAAAAAAAAAAAGGCATACATAGAGACCAATGGAACAGAATAGAGAGTCCAGAAATAAATTCTGGTATATATGATCAAATGATTTTTGACAAAGGTGCCAAGACCATTCAATGAGGAAAAGACAGTCTTTCAGCAAGTGTTACTGGGAAAACTGCATATCCACATGCAAAAGAATGAATTTGGACCCTTACCTAACACCATGTTTAAAAATTAACTCAAAATGGATCGAAGACATAAATGTAAGGCCTAAAATTATACAACTCTTAGAAGAAAACATAGGGCAAAAACTTCACGACACTGGATTTGGCAATAATTTTCTGGATATGACACCAAAGACATAGGCAACAAAAGAAAAACAATTTGGACTCTAAGAAAATTTAAAATCTTGTGCCTCAAAAGACAATATCCTCAGAGTAAAAAGGCAACCCAAGAATGGGTGAAAATATTTGCATCATATATCTGATAAGGTATTAATATCTAGAGTATACTGAGAACTCCTAAAACTCAACCACACACAAAAAAACCCAACCCTTTGTTCAAAAATGGACAAAGCTTTTGAATAGAAATTTCTCCAAAGAAGATATACAAATGTCCAATAAGCACATGAAAAGGTGCCCAAAATCGCTAATCATTAGGGAAATGCATATCAAAACTACAAAATACCACCACACACACATTAGAATGGCTACTATCCAAAAAAAACAGAAGATAAATGTCGGTAAAGATGTGAAGAAATTGGAACCTTGAGCACTGTTGGTGAGAATATAAAATGGTACAGCCCCTGTAGAATACAGGATGCCAGATCCTCAAAAAATTTAAAAAAATGAAATTAACACATTATGCAACAAGTCTACTTCCGGGTACATACACAAAAGAATTGAAAGCAGGGTCTTGAAGAGATATTTGCACACTCATGTTCATAGCAGCATGATCATAGTAACAAAAATGTGGAAGCAACCCAAGTGCCCATCAACAGGTGAATGGATAAGCAAAACCTCCCATATTCATGCAGTGGAATATTATTCAGCCTTAAAAAGGAAGGAAATTCTGACACATGCTACAACATGGATGAACCTTGAGGACATTATGCTAGGTGAAATAATCCAATCACCAAAAGATAAATACTGTATGATTCCACTCCCATGAGATACTTAGTGGTCAGAATTATAGAGACAATGTAGAACGGTGGTTGCCAGACAGTAGAGGGAGGGGAATGGGAGTTACTGTCTGATGGACGTAGAACTTCAGCTTTACAAGATGAGTTATGGAGAGGGACAGTGGCGATGGTTGCACAATGTATTTAATACCACTGAACCATACGCTTTAAAATAGTCAAGATGGTAAATATTATGTGTACTTTACCACTATGGAAAAAAAAAAAGCAACCATCAGATGCCCTGTAATCCGTCATTCCCCAGGTTCTTATCCCTGTATTTATTTCCTGTTTATCCCCTAATGTAGTCCCAACCACCCACACCTTGCAGACCTCCCAAACTGCGCTGTGACTTTACAATGTTTGGTCCATCACCAGCAAATTGCCCACACCTTCACCTGTACTTCAGGGGTCCACAGACCTTTTCTGCAAGGGGCCGGAGAGTAAATGTTTTAGGTTCTCTGGGCAGACTGTCTCTGTCCTCGCTACTCGACTCTGCCCTTCTAGGGAAAAGCAGCCACAGACAGCGCAAAAAGGAAAGGCCTAGGAGCAGGCAGGGCTGACCCCTGACCCTCTCACAGAGCAGCTGGGAAAGTGAGCTGACAGGTGTAACGCTGCTCCGTGGACTGTACAGTGCGGATCACCTGGGAGGAGCCGGGAGCAGAGGCCATGGTAATAAAAATCCTGCTCAGAGCCTCCGCCAGCAGAGAGTGCTTCCCGACGGGAAAGGACGGGACCCGGCGGAAGGACGGGGCCTGGGTTCCGACGGGGGTTCCGCCAGTGGCCACCTCCTGACCCACGCGGAGACGCTGGTCCTTCCAGAGCGAGACGGGAAGGTCCAGGCCACCTGTGTGGAAGGACGCTCAGCCCCGGCCCCGAGCGTCCCACCCCTTTGCCTCCGCCCTCGGGGCCCCGCCCCCATAGCCGGGCCTGCGTGCTTTGCGCCCAGCCCCTCCTCCAAGAGTCCCGCCCTTTTGTCTCTCTCCCGGGGCCCCGCCCCCAGAGCCGGGCCGGCGTGCTGTGCGTCCCGGCCCCGCCCCCAAGAGTCCCGCCCTTTTGCCTCCGCCCTCGGAGCCCCGACCCCGGAGCCGGCCGGTGAGCTTTGCGCCTGGCCCGGTCTCACCCTGCGCATGTGCTCGGCGTCCTGGGCTGCTGCGGAGGCGGAGGTGAGCGCGCGGAGCGGGCCGGGCTGACGTGCGGCTGCGGGCGGGCTCCCTCGGAGGTGTGTTCCAGCCGCGGGGCGTAGCCTAGGGGTTGGGCGTGGAGCGAGGGTCCTGCGGCCCCTTCTCGCCGGACTGCCCGCAGGATGGGCGGCACCACCCCCCAGGCCTCCTTGGAGCGCGCGGCCTTGGCGCTGGTGGTCCTGGGGACGTTGGGACCTTCGCCTGGCACCTTTCTTCCCCGGCCTCAGTTTCCTCGTTGTCGAAAAGGCCCAAGTGATGTGACTCCTCAGGACTCTGCTGCCCCCTTGTTTGCAGCAATTAGTTTGCTGATTAAACACTTCTCGGACAGGAGGACAGGGAGCTTCAGCTAAAGTTAAATAATTGTGAATTTTTACTGAAATATTTTCGGATGAAATAATAGGATGCCCCGAATGTGTTTCAAAATAAACCAGTTGGAGGGGAGTATGTGTGGGATTAGAGGCAAAGCAAGACTGGCCATGACTTGATAGACTGAAGTTGGTTTATGATGTACTATTTTGTTCACCTTTCTGTATGTTTGTAATTTATCATCAGAAATACTCTATAATGAAAAATCTGCTGTGGACGCCTGTGTTCAAATACTGGGCCTGTATTAGTCTGCTAGGGCTGCAGTGACGAGAACTGGGTGAGAGACATGTCTTTCAAGGTGTCAGCAGGGCTAGTTTCCTCTGAGGCCCCTCCCACTGGCTTGTAGATGGTCACCTTCTGGCCTGTGTCTTCATGGTCCTTCCTCTGCGCCTGTGTCCTAGTGTCCTGTTCTCGTAAGGACACCAGTTATATTGGATTAGGGCTCATCCTAATGACCTAGTTTTAACTTAGTTGCCTCTTTTAAGATCCTATGTCTAGATACAGTCACATTCTGAGGTCCTGGGGGTTAGGACTTCAGCATATGAATTTGGAGGGACACAATTCCGCCCACAGCATGGCCGCTTTACGTTTGGGATTTTGACCAGTTAGCCTGTCTGTGCCTCGGTGTTCCCTGGTGTAATGAGTCACAGAGGTGTAAGGAGTCCGTCATTAAACAATGTCTGCAGCGCTCTCAGAAGTGTGTCGAACACGTAGTAAGACTGAGTGAGTGGAACATGCTTCATGTGTCAGTTAGGGATCGTGCTCAGTAGGGGTGGGTGGTGGAGTGAGGGGTTGGTTGCTTGGTGCTGTGCCTAGCCAAGGGCATCAAAGTTGTAATCACAGCCATTTCCTCAAGGGTGTCTGCTCCTTGCTGGGCACCGATTGTTGCGTGTGTGTTCACTGACAGCACAGACACCCTCTGGTGGGCCGCTGTCACATGCCCATCTGACCCGTGGGGAAGGCGATGCAGAGATAGAGCTGGAGCCTGTGCTCTGACTACCGTGCGTGCGTATTGCCTCCGTTAAAGGGGATGTGGCCCTGGGGGTGTTCAGTCTGCAGGTAGACCCGAGGAGCTGTTGGCTCACTTCTCTTTCTCTTGGCCCAGGTTTACAGAGGTGGCAGCCCTCATGGCAGGTCCCCTGTGGCGGGCCACAGCCTTTGTGCAGAGACACAGGACGGCCCTGTTGGTGGGTTCCTGTGCAGGCCTGTTTGGGGCTCAGATCTCGTACCACCTCTTCCCGGATCCTGTGGTCCCGTGGCTGTACCAGTACTGGCCTCAGGGCCAGCCAGCCTCCCTGTCCCCAGAGCTGCAGAGCCTGTTCGAGGAGGTGCAGCAGGATATCGGGGTCCCCTCGGGCCACCACTTCAAGGCCTTCACCACCTTCACCTTCCAGCCTGTGAGCGCCGGCTTCCCGAGACTCCCTGCCGGGGCCGTGGTGGGCATCCCCGCCAGCTTCCTGGGTGACCCAGTGACCAACACTGACCGGCCCGTGGTCGTCCACGGGCAGCGAGTGGACTGGCAGAGCCCAGTGGGTGCCCGGCTGAGAGATGCCCTGACTCTGTCCCACGACGCCCAGAAGTTCGCCTTGGCCAGGGAGGTGGTGCACCTGGAGAGCGGGGCGGCCGCCCTGCAGGCCCTGCCAGCCCCTGCCTGCCTGGTGGGCACCTGGGCTCTGGGCGTGGGAGCCAAGCACGCCCTGGGGCTCTACGGAGGCCCCATGAACTTGCGAGCCGCCTTCAACTTGGTGGCGGCAGTGGCGGGCTTCGTGGCCTATGCCTTGTCCACGGACTCTCTCACTCACTCCCTGGAAGCCTGGCTGGACCGCCGCACGGCCTCGCTGTCCGCAGCCTATGCCCGGGGCGGGGTGGAGTTCTACGAGAAGGTTCTGTCGGGCAACCTGGCCCTGCGCGGCCTCCTGGGCCGGCCCGGAGAGAAGCTGTACACGCCCAGCGGGAACGTGGTTCCCAGACACTGGTTCCGCATCAAGCACCTGCCCTACACGGCCCGCCGGGACTCGGTGCTGCAGGTGTGGAGGGCGGCGCTCAGCCCCCGCAGCCCCTGAGGGCCTCATGGCAGGGGCGGTTCCAGCTGGAGCAGGTACCACCCCGCCCTGGACTTGGGGGGGGAGGGGGGAGGGGCGCTCCTGGGGCCTCTGCGCCCGCAGCCCGGTGTCAGCAGACCTGCCGGCTGTGGAGCTCAGCAGCCCAGATTCTCCCCCCTTGGGCCTGACGGGGAGAGAAGGTGTTGCTGGAACCCAGCAAGACCTCCTGGTAGGAGCGCTGGCCGAGGGAGGGGAAGGAACAGGCCTGCGAAGCCGAGGCCCTGCAGTCAGGAGCCTGGACGCGCAGAGCACAGAGCGGGCTTGGGGAGGAGCTGCGGTGAGGGACGATGGGGGCGAGGCGAGCGGGGCTCGCCGGGAGGTGAGGAGGGCGGAGCGGGGCAGGTGGGCAGTGGGCCAGGCCTGGTGTCCCACTTGGGACCCAGCGGAGGCTGCGGCCTTGCCCGCTTGTCTGCCTCCAGCCCTCTGGATAAAGCAGACCCCACTTTTTTTTTTCCTATTTTATCTTTTTATTTTTTTAACATCTTTATTGGAGTATAATTGCTTTACAATGGTGTGTTAGTTTCTGCTGTATAACAAAGTGAATCAGCTATACATATACATATATCACCATATCTCTTCTTTCTCGTGTCTCCCTCCCTCCCACCCTCCCTATCCCACCCCTCGAGGTGGTCACAAAGCACCGAGCTGATCTCCCTGTGCTGTGCCGCTGCTTCCTGCTAGCTGTTTTACATTTGGTAGTGTATGTATGTCCATGCCACTCTCTCACTTCGTCCCAGTTTACCCTTCCCCCTCGCCGTGTCCTCAAGTCCATTCTCTATGTCTGCGTATTTCTTTTTTTTTTTTCAGTACGCGGGCCTCTCACTGTTGTGGCCTCCCCCGTTGCGGAGCACAGGCTCCGGATGCGCAGGCCCAGCGGCCATGGCTCACGGGCTCAGCCGCTCCGCGGCATGTGGGATCTTCCCGGACCAGGGCACGACCCCGTGTCCCCTGCATTGGCAGGCGGACTCTCAACCACTGTGCCACCAGGGAAGCCCTATGTCTGCGTCTTTATTCCTGTCCTGCCCCTAGGTTCATATCCTTTTTTTTTTTTTAGATTCCATATATATGTGTTAGCATACCGTATTTGTTTTTCTCTTTCTGACTTACTTCACTCTGTATGGCAGACTCTAGGTCCATCCACCTCACTACAAAATGACTCAATTTCGTTTCTTTTTATGGCTGACTGATTGTATATATGTGCCACGTCTTTATCCATTCCTCTGTCGATGGACACTTAACGTTGCTTCCATGTCCTGGCTATTGTAAATAGAGCAGCAATGAACATTGTGGTACATGACTCTTTTTGAATTATGGTTTTCTCAGGATATATGCCCAGTAGTGGGATTGCTGGGTCTTATGGTAGCTTTTTTTTTTAGTTTTTTTAAGGAACCTCCATACTGTTCTCCATAATGGCATTCCCACCAACAGGGCAAGAGGGTGCCCTTTTCTCCACACCCTCTCCAGCATTTATTGTTTGTAGATTTTTTGATGATGGCCATTCTGACTGCAGACCCCACTTTTGATCCTTGGGCAGGAGACCCCAGCAGGAAAGGTGAGGAGGGTTGTGATGAGCAAGCCAGGCTCACTTGGTCATTTATGTGTTCTTTTTTTTTTTTAATATTTATTTATTTATTTGGTTGTACCGGGTCTAGTTGTGGCACGCGGGCTCCTTAGTTGCAGCACGTGGGCTCCTTAGTTGTGGCACACGAACTCTTAGTTGCGGCGTGCATGTGGGATCTAGTTTCCTGACCAGGGATCAAACCCGGGCCCCCTGCATTGGGAACACGGAGCCCCATCCACTGTGCCACCAGGGAAGTCCCTCATGTGTGCTTTTTTTAAAATTTATTTTATTGAAGTATAGTTCATTTACAATGTTGTGTTTATTTTTGCTGTACAGCAAAGTGACTCAGTTATACATATATACACTCTTTTTTTATATTCTTTTCCATGATGGTTTATCACAGGATATTGAATATAGTTCCCTGTGCTCTACAGTAGGGCCTTGTTGTTTATCCGTCGTATATGTTTAATAGTTTACATCTGCGAATCCCCAACTCCCAGTCCTTCCCTCCCCCAGCCCCTTCCCCTTGGCAACCACAAGTCTGTTTTCTATGTCTGTGTGTATATTTCTGTTTTGTAAATAAGTTCACTTGTATCATTTTTTTAGACTCCACATATAAGTGATATCATATGGTATTTGTTTTTCTCTGTCTGACTTACTTCACTTAGTATGATATTCTCTAGGTCCATCCATGTTGCTGCAAATGGCATTATTTCATTCTTTTTTATGGCTGAGTAGTATTCTATTGTATATATGGACCACATCTTCTTTAGCCATTCATCTGTCAATGGACATGTAGGTTTCTTCCATGTCTTGGTTATTGTGGATAGTGCTGCTGTGAATATTGGGGTGCATGTAATCTTTTCAAATCAGAGTTTTCTCAGGGTATATGCCCAGGAGTGGGATTGCTGGATCACATGGCAACTCTTAGTTTTTTGAGGAACCTCCATACTGTTCTCCACAGTGGCTGCACCAATTTACATTCCCACCAGTAGTGTAGGAGGGTTCCCTTTTCTCCACACTCTCTCCAGCGTTTGTTATCTGTAGACTTTTTAATGATGGCCATTCTGACCAGCATGAGGTGATACCTCGTTGTAGTTTTGATTTGCATTTCTCTAATAACGAACCACGTTGGGCATCTTTTCAAGCCATTCATGTATTCTTTTTGTTGGTGGTTATGTTTTCCCTGGAAGAGTTGAATAATTCAGGCCTGGTGCCAGTGTAACTCGGGACAAAGGGATTAAGCCACACCCAGGAAGGGCACAAAGCCAGCCCAGGAGGCCCACTCAGAGGCCGGGCGGTCCCTGCATAAGACTGTGGATGGAGAGAGCAGGCAGGGGTGGCCTGATTCCTGCTGGGTCCTTGACCGTGATCTGGGCTCAGCACTCTGGCCCCATTCTGGGTGAGCCTTGGGGTCCCCGCCCTGGGCCCCGGCAGACGGGTTTCTGAGGGCAGAGCATCCGCTCTCCCAGGGCCTGCTCTCAGTAACGCAGGAGCCGGGAGGAGGCCGGCGTTCCTGCTACTCCGTCCAGGTGGGAGGGTAAGGGGCCCCGGCGTGGGTGGGGCGGGGAGGCGACCCCCTGAGACGGCCCCTTAGTTGGCTCCGTCTACCCCAAGTCACCAACTTTGTCTCCACTCAGGGGCTGTTCCCAGACCTCACACGCTTCCCGTGGCCCAGCCCCAAACCTGGGCTGGCCGCGAGCCCCGACTCCCGGGCATCCGCGCAGCCCTGCCATCTGGCTCAGGCCGGTCCACTCCCAGGCAGAGCTCTCCCGCCGCAGCCCTGGCAGGCGGCTGTTGCTGAGAACCTGCTCTGGGCTGGACCTCCCCCCACCCACCCCTCCATCCCACCTCGTGTCTAAACCAGGGCCCGGCCTCGTGATGTCCCTGCCCAGCGGCTCCCGGCTCCATCCCTTCCCTCCCCAAGCGGTTCCTCATGTGGGCTTCCTGGCCATTCTCCCCACCTCCCCCAGCTCTTAGAAGCTCAGGTCTGACTGGGTTCTCTCCTGCTTAAAACCCTTTGCAGGCATCCCTTTGTTTTCGGCCAAAGCCGAGCCTCCAAGCCTGGGCCGCTCTGTGGAATCCGGCCCTACAAGCATGTGGGTTCCTCGACTGCCCTCCCCTCCCCACATGGGCCTCCGTCTGGGGCCCTCTCTGCTGGCCTGCCCTGTCCTGGAATTTTCGGTGCTCCCTCTGCAGGAACCCTCAGGGACCGAGCCCACCGCGCCCTGCACCTCTTCGTAGCCTCTGCTGCCAACGGTAATTAAGTAAGGGAGCGCGGCTTAGCATCTCCTCTGCCGAAATGTACTGTCTGCAAGAGCAGCGTATTGTGTGTCCCGTTGACAGCTCTGGACTGAAGCTCTCCACGTTTTTGAATAAATGAATAAGGCTCTTAAGCTCCGACACACATGGGCCTGGCACCTTAGGGTCTCTGAGCAAGTACAGTACGGCTGGCTGGATGCCCCGGGCAAGGCCATTACGAATCCTGTGACCCTGTCCTAGTTTCCCAACTTGGGATGCTTTCCAAGGGCACGGCCTGGCCCCGCTCTTCCATGGTTGCTGACTTCATTGGGGAAACCAGGACACTTGTGGTTCCCTTTCTTTCCTATAGAGCACAGATCAGTTCTCAGAGCACCAGGGACCCCAAGAGGCTTTAGGGGAGGCTGACCCCCCGAAATTCTGTGGTATTTTGTGCCCCTACAGGCGGTTCAGGGTCGATCCCAGAAAGGCTTTGAAGCTGGGCCAGGTGGCAGGAATTTACCCTGTAAATGCTGCCCTGCACGTTTCCTTCTCAGATGCCTGCTGCAGACCTTAGTCGTCAGGCTCTGCATGGGACCCCAGAGAACGCTGTTCTAGTGTGTTATGCCCCCCACACATTCATGGTTCTCAGAGCTACATCAGCACGCAGGTACTCCCCCCTTCCCCCGACACGGTCAGAATGCGGGGAAGGGAGTCCCAGGGTCCCGGTGCCGGCACTGGCCCTGACCCTAGCAGGCTCCACTGCCTCTGTCCCCACCAGCCACTGTCCACGATACAGGGCCGCGTGCAGCACGCCTGGAGCTGGGTGCATGCATGTGGGCTCCTGGTCTCCACGTGTGCACGTGTCAGAGGCTAGGTCCCAGATGGGTGCGTGGTCCCCACCCCGTGAGACCTCCTGCCTGTTGCATCCCCGGAGTCATGTTTATGGGGCCTTTATTGGGCACCAGACACTGTGCTAGGTTCTTAGAGGTATTTTCTTAAATTTACGCCCAAATTGGAACATGTAGTTGGTAACATCCTTTTGATTTTGCAGACAAGCACATAGCACAGAAAGGTGAAGAAATTTTCCCCAAATCTCAGAGCTTTGTAAGTGGCAGAACCAGGATTTGAAGCTGGCAGTCTGGCCCCAGATCCCGTTCTCACAGCCCTGGACTTACACTGTCCTGTTGATCCTGAGGGCTCCATGGTGCAGACTTGTCCTGTGGCCTCTCTAGCCTTTCTCCCCATGCCACTGAGAGGTGACTTTGCAGCCTCCCCTCTTTTATCAGGAAAAAATGGTCCCGAGCCGAGCCTTCTGGAACTTCCAGGGGAGACCCTTCCAGCTAGCTGAAGAGGGGCCGCCCAGTCCATCATGCCTAGGGCTGCGGTGGGGATGGGCAGAGGGGAGGGCTGTTACAGAGCCTTAGGAGGCCCCAGCTGAGGAACAGGGGTGCTTAGGAGGTGGAGAACACGGGGGGGCGCAGCCGGGGTGGGCTCAAGTCCTGGTCCTGCCGCTTTCGCGGAGTGACCCCAAGCAAGGGACTTCACACCTCTGGTCCTGAGTTTCCTGTCTGTACAATGCGGACATTAATGTGTATCGTGCAGCATTCTTCTGACAAGGAAAGTAAAATAAAACTTGCAAAATGTGAATCCCAGACAGGGTTTACAGTAAGCTTTAAAAGAAGATTGGTTCCTAAATGTTAGTGCTTTTAAGCGGTCCAGGTAGCAGGGTGTTCAGGTCTTGCAGTTGTGCCCAAATACCAGCAGTTTCTTGTGGCTGGAACCTTCCCAGGGAGCCCTCACCACCTCACACAGGGCTCCACTTCAAACTCTCAGAGCCGCGGTGGGGGCAGGTCCCTACCTTGCCCTCAGCTGACGCCTTTTGGGAAATTACTCAGCAGCAGCTGAGAGCAAAGGACCCAGGGGGCCCTGGGGAGACAGCAAACGGGAGAAGAGGGCATTAAAATAGGAGATGGTGGGCTTCCCTGGTGGCGCAGTGGTTGAGAATCTGCCTGCTGATGCAAGGGGACACGGGTTCGAGCCCTGGTCTGGGAGGATCCCACATGCCGCGGAGCAACTAGGCCCGTGAGCCACAACTACTGAGCCTGCGCGTCTGGAGCCTGTGCTCCGCAACAAGAGAGGCCGCAATAGTGAGAGGCCCGTGCACCGCGATGACGAGTGGCCCCTGCTTGCCACAACTAGAGGAAGCCCTCGCACAGAAACGAAGACCCAACACAGCAAAAATAAATTAATTAATAAAGTCCTACCCCCAACATCTTCTTTAAAAAAAAGTAGGAGATAGTGGGGTTTCTTTAATTGAAGTCTAGTTCATTTACAATGTTGTCTTAATTTGCACTGTACAGCAAAGTGATTCACTTTTATATATATACACATTCCTTTTCATGTTCTTTTCCACTACGGTTTATCACAGGATATTGAGTATAGTTCCCTGTGCTCTGCAGTAGGACCTTGTTGTTATCCATTCTCTGTGGAATAGTTTGCATCTGCTCATCCCAAACCCCCAGTCCATCCCTCCCCCAGCCCCCTCCCCCTTGGCAAACACAAGCCTGTTCTCTATGTCTGTGGGTCTGTTTCATAGATAAGTTCATTTGTGTCATATTTTAGATTCCACATATAAGTAATTTCATATTTGTCTTTGTCTGACTTCACTTAGTATGAGAATCTCTGGGTCCATCCGTACTGCTGCAGATGGCATTGTTTCATTCTTTTTTATGGCTGAGTGGTATTCCATTGTACGTGCACCACATCTTTATAAAATGGGAGATGGTCTTTTACACCTACTACACAGGTAATGTTTAAATCCTAGAACCTCTGGATGAGTGAGGGTGTGGTAAAGTCGGTACAGCGTGTGCCCTTGGTGACACTGTAGGAAGCAGCCTCCAGGGTGGCCCCCAGTGGTCTCTGCTCCTGCTGTTCTCAGCCTGTGTCATCCTTTCCTCTTGCTCTTGGTTTAAAACAACAGAATAAGGCAAGTGTGATTATGTTACAAAAGACTGGCTTCCGTCTTACTAGCAGACTGTTAATCTTCTCAGACACGTGCTTTGATGAAGCGTCTTGCTGCGCTGGACAGGCCCACGTGGCTCAGAAGTAAGGGCGGCCTCTGAGGCACAGCTGGCGGAGCGGTGAGGCCCTCAGTCCAGCAGCCCACAGGGAGCTGAATCCTGACAACAGCCGTGTGAGCTTGGAAGAAAATCCCTCCCCAGTCAGGTCTCAGATGAGACCCCAGCCTTGGCCGGTGCCTTCGCAGCCCGTGACACCCCAAAGCAGAGGACACAGCTAAGCTATGCCTGGATCCTCAACCCACAGAAATGCTGAGATGGTCGTCGTGGGTTATGTTAAGCCTTCATTTTATGGTAATGTTTCATGCACAGTAGGTAACTGACCCACATGGTTAATTGACATACTATGTTTAGGAAGCAATTTAGCAAAAGTTGACACGCCACATGGGTAACTTCAAACCTAGAAACTCATTCTAGAGCCATCATCCAGCAGAGACTAAATCAGATATGCCCAAAGATGTGCATAAGAGCACTACCTATAATATAAAAAAAATAGGGATAATGGAAATACTGAAAAATAGCGACTTAGGAAACTTTGGTATATTCATTTGTTGAATATTGGTCAGTCACTAAAAAGCATAAGTATGAAGACTATGGTAGAAACATGTAGAAATAGTCTAAATATCAAATGTTCTTAAAAATATGAAGTACAACATGCAAGAGGATTGCAATAATGTAAATATGGTAAAAGACCTGTAAGGAAATTTGCAAAATTTCTGAAATTCAAAATTTCATAAGAGAAAGTAATTCTGTAATGGTGGAATTTTGAATGGCTTTATTCATCAGTATATATATAAGGACTTACCTCTATAGATGTATTAATATAGATGTGTATGAAGGCTCCCTCAGAGGGGTCCAAGGACCCACCCCCTCTCCCTGCATCAAGGTGACAGATCCTGGCATCACTGCTTTTGGCCTATATCCTTGGGGCGTGGCCAAGCTTCTGCCTGTCAATTACCATGGCAATCAGGAAATGTGCTGCTCAGATCTGCTGTGGGAGCAGAATTGACTGACAGTCCCAGCTGCTGTTTCTCTAGATCCACCACCATGCTTTCACTGAGGCCGTGCCTCTCGCGGGCTGCTTTCAGGCAGGGGTTGATCCTGGTGCAGTACTCACGCAAGCCCATTCTGGTGAACTGTGGGACGCCTCCAGTGGTGGACTGTGGCTCAAGGACACCCTAGTGGCCTGGGCAGATCTTTCTTAGAACTGCTCTGAGGTCTGAGACCCTTCTACCCAGGCCTCCTTCCTTCCCCACCTCCTTCACAGATGTCAGCCCTGCTTTGTGGTTTCCCCAGCACACCTCTTACTCAGGTAATCCCGTCTCGGTGTCTCTTTCTCAGAGGATCTGAACTAACAGTTACCCCTCCCTCAGTCGGGTGCTCTGTGAGGCCCGGGGGGCGCACCCTGCCCTGTCTGCCTCTGGAGTTCGCAGACCTGCAGAAGTAAACCTGCAGTGACAATACGGTGCAGTGAAGGTTAGTGTGGAAGCACAAGGGAGGGTGCCTAACTCAGCCTGGGCTGGAAGTGGCCAGAGAGGACTCCCCAGAGGAGGGGCCCCTGTTGCTGAAACCCTCAGTGTGAGTTGAAAGAACCCAGTGCTGATAGTTAATATTAAATATGTATGTAACACAGATGTGCCAAACCCTTTACATGTGTTAATTCACGTAATGCCTGCGACAGTCCTCTTATCCCCATTTTACAGATGGGAAGATCCAGGCATAGACAGATGAAGTGGTTTTCCTCCAGCCAGTGCTAGACTTGGGGTCTGAACCCAGGTGGTCTGGCCCTAGAGGTTGTGTTCTTAGCCACTGGACCATGTTAGCCAGAGACAGGCTATGGGAATAGCTAGAAACAAAAGCTAGAAACAAGACAGTTTGTGTGGTTTTTGTGTCAGCCAGAGCCCAACTGGGAGACTGAAAGCCCACAGTAATTTGAACAGGGAAAGCTTAACATGAAGAATTATTATTGTTGACAGTGGGTTGAGAGGCCCAGGCAGGAGCAGAGAGACCAGTTTGCGGGGCGGGGGGCGGGGAGGCACTGTGATACCAGAGGAGACATGAGGCTGGCTTGAACTTGGCAGTGGAGGTGGAAAGAGTCAAGACTCAGACTACATTTAGGAGGCAGTATGGGTGAAATTCGGTGATAGACTGGGTCTGGGGGGTGTGGCAGAGGAAGGTCAGAGGTCAAGGGTCAGGAATGTCTCCTGGGTTCCAGGTTGATAGATGGGTGACTGCGGTCTGCCCTTCTCTCTGCTGCAGAGCTCACAGACACTGGATCCCATTCTCCTCCTGTCTCCTGGACATCCCTCCTTCCTTATTGATTATGCCTCCTTGGAAACGCAGTTTTGTTGTTAATGATGATGATGGTTGTGATGATGGAGATGATGATGATGGAGATGATGGTGGTGATGATGATGGTGGTGATGATGATGATGATGGTGGTGATGGTGGTGATGATGGTGATG